AGATTTGCTAGCATGAAACCTATATAGACAATGTTTCTTTTGTAAAAAGCAGTAAGTTATGCTCAGTAACTGACTTCAAGATAGCTAAGTCAAAAGAAACTGTAAAAGATTCTGCCTTCCCTCTCCTGCCAGCTATGGAGCACAACATATTGAGACGTGAAAGGGGAAAAGACCAAGGTATATGCAGGGACATTATCACAGTTTTAAACTAAACTAACACCAAAATTATAAATGAGCTGGATTTAGGGTGAGGTCAATAAAACATGATTCACACTGAACAAATGTTTTCAGAATCTGTCTGCCCTTTGGGTAGATTTTCAACATCTCCACATAACTAAGACACACTTCCACTAGAGTCGCCAGGGTAACCGCACTGAATCACGGAACAAATGACTAGCAGTATACTGCTCTTACAGATTGGGTCTTCCCTGCCTCTTTTCTGTCCTGCCTCCTTCCTTCCCACCTCCCTTGAGAAGCTACATTTTTGTAATCTCTGGAGAAGAGCACAAGATACAATCCCCACCCAGAGTATAGGATAGTGGGGGAGCAATGGTAGAAATTGGAAGAAATTTCTACCCAAATCCAGCAGCCAAGATTGAGGCTGCTTTACCTTTTTGTTCTTTAGTGATGAGGAGCTGAATTTGGAAGGGGAGAAAAAAATTTGTCCATGAAATATTCCACCTGCAGGTAATCTTTCAGGGAATCCCCTGAGTTATGAAAAGTTCGAGTTAAAAAAAAAAGGAAAAAAAAAAAAGAAAAGAAAAAAAAAAAATCAGCCTATTATAATTTTTTTTTATGACTGAACTATTATAAATCCACAAGCAACAGTTCAGACATGGTGCTTCTGAAGTGTTTCACCCTCCCCGCCAGGCGCAAGCTGCATCAAAGAGAGGGTGGACTTCCCCACCTCTGCTCAGGCATCAGGAGAAAGATGGGCCATTACTGCTGAGCGCCAGCGGCAGCTGGAACAGGCATCCCAAGGGGGTTGGCAGCAGCAATCACTGGTGAGCCTGCCAGAGGTCCAAGGGGTGAAGGGGTTGGCACTGAAGAAATCCCTGAAAGAAAACAGATGACAGTCAGCCAGAGACACCAACCAGTTTTTCATAGGCCTTATCTCTGCAGGCTTCTTCTTAGCCACATTTTAACATATGCATTTCAAGTATAATCTTTGTAAATTCAAGTTAAAATGGCAAGTCCTACTGAATTTACCTTGGAGAGCTTGAGAAGTTTGTTTTGGGTAAACAGCCAATAACTGGAGACTACGTTTAGATTCTATCACAGGCCTGTCTAGGGCAGCACAGTTTAACAAACTACCCGCTCTGTAACGTGTGCTTTCTAACACAGTCACCACTAACTAGCCACATGTAACTAACTACTGAGCACCTGTAATATGGCTAGGGCAACTAAGGAACTCAATTTTTATATTTCCTTAATTTTAATTAATTACATAGTACCACACTGGAAAGCATAGGACTACAGTCGAAGCCCACATGCTCTTATACCAAAATTACTCCCAAAATTACTTGTTGGTTTGTCCACAATCAGCCAATTATTTAATTTTGAAAATGCTATAAAAAGAGCTGAGTATAGTGGTGTATAACTATAAACCCAACACTCTGGAAGGTTGAGGCAGGAGGATTGCAAGTATGAGCCCAGCCAGTATAACTACACAACACCTCCTGACTCCACCCCTGCAAAAAAAAACCCCAAACAAACCTCAAAAGCCCCAGTAATCCTCCTTATATGCAGGACATGTTTCAGGATGCCTGAAACTGCAGATAAAACAAACACTATATACACTATGTTTTTCTTATATATATATATAAAAAATAAATCTTAATGTGTAAAGGAGACACAGTAAGAGATCAATAATATAGAATTAGAATAGTATATGAAAAATTATGTAAATGTATTCTCTCTTGAGTCAAGACAAATAATTTTGCACCAGGAATAACTAAAACTATTGATGAGGAGGTCTAGTACATATTCATGTGGTTTAAAATAGAAAAGGTTCAAAGAATACCCAAAAACCTTTGTTGATTGGTCAACTTTGGGGAATATTTTTGAGATGTATTCTTTAAGATGTATTTTGTACATATACAAGAATATAATTTTATGAGAATATTAATGTAAAAATCATATATAAGAATGTAATTATATTTGTATACTCCTGCTCTTACACATGGTTATCCCCTGCTCCCATTTACATTATTATTTTAGAGCTAGTGTTCTAACAACACTGAATACTTTACTCATCTTTTTTCTGATCACATATTCCACATTTGAATGGGTGTCCCATAACCGATTTAACCAGTTCTCCACTGATAGCTGTTTTCAATGTTATAGTATTATAAATTACCTTGTGAATAACCTTGGCTATGTCATTTTATACATAGGTCAGGTACTCAAGAGGATAAATTCTAAAAGGCAGCTAGTTCTTAAAAAAAAAAAAAGAGATCATGGCAGCAATAAAGAATGTAAATGCTCTCATGACCACAAGTGTACCCAAGTGGATGCTGTCTACATGCATAGTTCCTCAATTTTGCTTCTGAGGGCTACTCAATTATTGTCATTCTCAATTGTGAGAGGAAAAGATTCATTTTAATTTTTCACAGCTTCTTGGTATTTCAAGCACCTCTGCAAGAAAATTTTTTGTTGGGATGTTGTGATACTGATCTGAAAGAGACTGATGATATTCTACTTACAACAAAGTCACTAAAGTATACTAAGTGTCAAAAGCAACTTGATATCTGGCGGGAAAAGCTCCACAGGCCAGTGTGTCACTAAGGATACCCCACAGAGAACTACACAAGAAATCAGGCCACAGACAAGGGACAAAATTAAGAACAGTAACTGACTTCAACTGTTTTTTTTTTCTGAAAAAGGAATTTACCAATGAACTGACCTGACATCATGTTGGCGCTGCTGACAGGTGTACTGCCTCCTGGCATGCTAGATGAACCCATTCGAGCCTGGTCCTTCACCACGGTATCTAGAAAAAAGAGAAGTTAGGCTCTGTTTTGCTTAAAGGATTAAGCTAATTGGTTTGGATGGCCTCAGAGTAGCTAGCTTCAATCTTTTCATTTTATTTCTACTCTATTATTATTCCTAGAATTTAAGATGGCAACTGCCTTCCTCACAAATTACACTACTGGTACAAAATACGAATACCTTTCCTAAGCAATTGGAAGAATGTGAAGAAATGGACTCAGAGCAGATGAAGCAACTTTTGCAGTGAGGTAACAGGAGCGGTACTGCAATTCCACTCTACAGGACTCCACGCTGGAGCTTTCTTCACATTATGTTCTCCCACACCTCATACAGTCTGCAGGGGAATGGTGGGAGGGCTTGCCCAGGCTGAGGACTGGGCAGTTGGACTCACAGAAATAGGGATGCTCCATGGCTTCTCTTGCAGTGAGCCGTGACTGGTGATCATATCGCAGCAGCTTATCCAGGAAATCCAAGGCCTCCGGGCTGACAAGGTGTTGGTTTTCACTGTGGACAAAGCGTTCCCATCGCTTACGAGAGTGTCTGTAAGGCCAAATGGGGGAATGAAAAATGGGCCACCTGTACAGAGAATCACATTTCATTTTTATACCTGCCTAGTGGCTAAGAGCCCAGTGAACGTCAAAGAGAGGTAAAATTCCAGCTAGATATCTTGTACCACTCTGCCACAGAGAGCATGGGGGCCAATAATGTTAACTGGAGACTGGAATAGTAGTGTAGCATAAAAGAGCAATCTAGGTCCTCTAAATTTTAAGAACTGTAATTCACTGTTTACTTTATGTGAATGTTCCTACACAGCAGGAGGGTCAGGTGGCTGAGCTAACCAACCTCTTTCCCATCTACACATTCCTGACATCTCTGCCATTTGACCAGCAAAAGACTGCATCAAGAAAGTTCAGCTCTGCTGAGTGGTTAGTACATTAGTGCTGTATCTAGTCCCTAACACCAGAATCATTTGTCTGTACATCAGCCTACTTCTTTCTTATGGGGAGGAATCTGTCATTTAAAGAAGTTAAATCAAGAGAGATTTTTATTTTTTAGCCATGCAGGAGATTGAACCTAGAGCCCTGATATTGAGCTATATCCCTAGTTTCCTAGACTAGGCTCAAACTTGAAATCTTCCTGGCTCATTCTCTTGAGTAGCTGAAATTACAGGTGTATGCCACTGTGCCTGGCCAAGATTCTGATTTTTGACTCAATGGTAAGCCTTCTTTCAGAACCCACATTTCATGAATCTCACAGGAATCTTCTGACCATAATCCTTATTCTACTTTTTGGTTTGTTTGTTTTTCTTCTGGTACCAGGAATCGAACTCATGATCTCGTGCTTGCCAGGCAGGGGCTGTGCCGCTGAGCTAAATCCCCAACCCCTATAATCCTTATTCTTGCCTGCTTAATACAGCAGCCTGCAATACCAGACCCACTAGCATTTTGGAAGTGTTGGCAGCATATGACTACTTCGAGGACCCAAAATACTAGCTTACACTGGAAAGCCTTAAGGCACAGATGGTCAGATTTTGTATTTATGACTTACCTGCCCAAGATATCATTGAAACGGGGATCTAATTCAATGTTGTATTTGTCAATATAGTCATATAAATCTTCTGTTCCCAGAACCTTGGCTATCCTCACCAACTAGTATTGAAGAAAGACAAAAACCCACAAAATATTCACATTACAGGATTAAATCATAAATGAAATAACAGAAAGGCATCACCATGCCTACAAGTATGAATGTTACCTCCTACCACTTTGAAAGTTCTGAACACAGCAGAAATGGATTTCCACATAAAATTCCTTATGTCAATGCACTATGAAAATATCATAGAGTAAATAAAGTGCTCTATAATATGGTTCCTTCCCTCAAAACCCAAATAAAGATGTCACTTCTTTTGGGAAGCTGCCCTTCCACACCCAGACTAACCACCACTGCCTTCTGTACCATGTCACACTTCTACTCTGACAATGTTCCTTATCTGTTTGGTTCCCTTACAGATAGACTACGAACCATTTCAGAGGAAGGAGGAAGGATTACTCTGTTTTTCTATATCCCTCAGTCCAGTATACCTACTGACAGAGTTGCTGATTGAACTTCAGTTGCTTGATCATTAAAGATGATTACTGTGCTCAAAGGTAAAGCAACAAGATCTTCTATAAAGTTTTAGAACCTCTCTAGATTCTCCTGAATGAAACAGCCCCTTAATATTCAAGGAGAAAAAAAAAATTCAAGGAGAGAGTGGAGTTAGTCTAAAAAACACCATCTGTATTTCCATGGATATATAAACTCGGTCATATAGAGAAATTAAAGGATCACAGAAGTATCATACAGAAACATGTTGGAGAACGTGTTAGGAGATTCTACAATAAGGCACTATTCTTTAGTCTGGATGACATTCTATGATTGTTCATTTAAGTATTATTCTCTGAATTATATTTGTTTTATAAAATATTGCACATCTATTTCACAATAAAACAAGCAATGCAAACTAAAAAGACCAGAGTAGGTGGGAAGAAGCAAATAAAATCTAATTCCAAAAGGCTGAACTGACAGCTCCCCAAAACACCCATCTGAAGATCAGTGTCAGGTTGGCTGCACTAACAGTGATTTGAAAATTATTCCCTATCCTAAGAGATCCTGAACTGATAGGTTCTGGGTGGGGATCTGTACTGTATCAAGACCCACTGGGGTTTCTAAAGAGTGGGCAGGTCTGGCCATCATTACATTAGACAGCTGAGTTCCTTATGGGAACAACATATATTACCTGATCATAATTGTCATGTCCGTGGAAAAACGGCTCCTTCCGGAAGATCATACTTGCCAGCATACAACCCAAACTCCACATATCCAAACTATAATCATACATCTATATTAAAGGAAATGCATAGTTATCATATGTGAATCCTGAGGCCTGTCCCTTCAAAATAGTAACTTTTTGCTGGGCATAGTGGCATACGCCTGTAATCCAAGTACTATGAGAAGATGAGGCAGGAGTGTAACAAGTTGAAAACCAAGAGTGGTAGTGCACACCTGTAATCCCAGCAATGGGAAGGCTGAAGCAAAAGGACCGCTATGAGTTTGAGGCTAGCCAGGGCAAGAGCGAGTTCAAGGCTACCCTGGACTACACAATGAGTTCAAGGTCAGCCATAGTGAGACCGTCTCAAAACAGCCTCCACAAAACAAAAGAAAATTAAATAAAAATAAATAAATAAAGCAAGTCAGACAGCCAAAATATCAATAACTTCATGTAGTTTTTTACAGTCTTCTGTACATTCTTCCATCCAGTTTAAAAAAAAAAAACCTGTCCGTACTACATTGAACTACTTTTTTTACTTACACAAGAAAACTCCCAAACTGTTAGCCTATGAAAACCAATGGGTACCATTATTTTATTTTATAGTGTCACAATTTAATCTTTAAATTTCCCTACATTTGGACTGTTTTTGTTTGTCACTATTTTGAAATAATGTTGTAAGGAATATTTTAAAACGCAAATTGTGTTTTGGGGCTTAGGGTTACATTTGTTAGGCCCCAGAAATGGAATTTTTAGGACAGAGGAAAACTATTTTGATTGTTTGGTTTTGGGTTTTGAGGCACGGGTTTGCTCTGTAGTTCCAAATGGCCTTGAACTCAATGTAGTTCAGGTTGGCTGCAAATGCCCAGCAATCTTCCTGCTTTAGCCTCCTGAGTACTGGGATTACAAATGTGCATCTCTTCAACTGGTGGACCTTTTTTTTCAAGACAAGGTCTCATTGTGTAGTTCAGGCTGGCCTTGGACTCACTATGTAGCCCAGGCTGGTTGGTGGACTTTTAAGTTTTTAAAAACACTTGGTAAAGCTATCAGTAATTTTTTAAAAATTTCTTTGTTGAGAGGAGTGTTTTTATATTTAGGGCACAATTTAGTAGATATATAAGGAAACAATTTTGGGTTTATTCTTAAAGTTGGTTAAGGCTAGCTTGAAATTCAACCAGTTCTCGAATTTCTGACTAAAAAAATTATTTTGGGTATACTTTTTCTCTTGGGATCAAATGTGGATTGATTTATATTCTGCTGACATAATGCAATGTAAACTATGCTGGATGAAGTGATTTATATATTACATTTCACATACAAGGAATAGCTATGAATATGCACAAATGGCTTGCTCAAAAGCATAGTGACATTTTTGCAAATTACAGACAAAATGTCATAGGACTGAAACTATATTTGCCCTTCTTTTCTTACCTGATAGTCTACAAGTAGCTCAGGGCCTTTGAAATATCGAGAAGCAACTCGGACATTATATTCTTGACCAGGATGATAAAACTCAGCCAGACCCCAGTCTATTAGCCGCAGCTGAAAGAAAAAAAATGGGAGACAATAAATCATAAACAATTTTGTATTTCTCTAAGCTATTACCATTCTGGTCTTAGAATACGCTTTAAAAAAAAATTTCCTATGTCACTCTATTTAAAGCCCTGTGCTAGGTTTGGGTGGTGCATACCTTTAATTCCAGTACTCTAGGGAGCTAAGGCAGAGGATCACAAGTTCAAACTTTGCCTAAGCAACTTAGACCCTGTTTCATAAAAAATGGCCTAGGGATGTAGTTCACTGCAAAGGCCCTGGGTTTTATCTCCAGTACCTTGGCGAGGGTGGGGTGTGCTAGGAGGAGGAAGCAAAGGAAGGAAGGAAGGAAGGAAGGAAGGAAGGAAGGAAGGAAGGAAGGAAGGAAAGAAAGAAGGAAAGGAGGGAGGGAAGGAGGAAAGGAAGAAGGGAAGAAAGAGAACGAAGGAAAGAGAGAAGGAGGGAGGGGGAGCAAGGAAGAAGGGAAGAGAAAGAGAGAAGGAGGGAGGGGGAGGAAGAAGGGAAGCAGGCAGGCAGCCAGCCATTTACTAGTTATCTATAGGCTTTAAGATAAAAAATAAAATTTCTCAGCTTAATAGACAGCTTTTTCCACAATCTAGCTCCTGAAATAGAGGTTCACTGCATGTTTTCATGAATTTCTTAAACTATTCATTGCACTAAAACGTCCCTGCTATCCAATGTCCTGCTATCTACTTGTGAACAGCTTCTTATTTTGGGCGATACTGAATTTAAGTTAGCTCCTTAAGGAAGTCTTCCTATCATGCAAGGAGAATGAATAAACCATTCTTAGTCCTCTGAACCTTAGACATATTTAAGAGAACCTGTAGGTCTTTATGGTATATTTGCTTTTACCTTTCTTTTTAAATTGCTTATTGGTACATTTTAGGTATACAGAATGATCACATTCATCATAAGGAATTTGTGCCTGTACATGGTATCTTGTTTTTTCTCATTCCTTTACCCTTCCTTCAACCCCTCTTCCCTTATTTATAAAAGCTTTATTTCCATTTTTTACCTTCTTTTGTTTTTTCCTTCCTTCCTTTCCCCTTACCTCCTCTCTCTAGTTCACCTTCCCATTTACAAATGAGTTCTGTTCTAGGAGAACATTCATAAATTGGATTCATTTGTAATCTGACAAAGTGAGTCTTACACAGTACACCCTGTGAAAGTTTACAACTCCAATGTTCATAAATCAGGGACTTACTCAAAACTCAACCTCCAATTTCTAGCAAACCCAACTCCACTCACATTCTCTCCCTTTGTTAAATGTGATCTCAACCATTCTGCCATTCAATTCAGGTGAGAACAAGACTGATGGGTTTATTTCCCTCACATTTTATCTGTCAGCAAATCCTGTTAGCTCTACTATATTCTTTGTTATGTTTTTGTTTTTGTCTCTGCCAGAGTCTGATCATTGCCAGCATCTCCAGGGCCTCTGCTACCATCATCTCTTCGGATTTACTGCAATAGGCTACTGTCCTAACTAGTCTACTTAATTTAATTTCCCTCTTGCCTCTATTCTCTAGACAGCAGCCAGAACAATCCTTTAAAAAGCTGTTTCTAAGACAATTATAGATTCACAGGAAGTTGCAAAAATAGTAGAAGTTCTGTGCACCCACAAAAAATGATAAGCATATCTTTTGTAAAGTATGTGACCTTTTGTCTTTGGTTCCTGAAGCAGGTTTATAACAATAAAGGTGAAAGATAGCAATGCTAGGTACTTCAAGCCTCAGAAAGCAAAATTTCTCCCTCTGTTCTCTTTTTTTGCATGTTTTTTCTCCCCAAAGCAGACCATGAAGTGGAATTTACTTTCCCTAAATTCGAAACTAAGTATGTTTGGAGCTGGTCACCATTATAAGATCCTCATTTCAGAAGGGGTCCTGTCTTATCATCTGAGAGGAATGCTACATGAAGAAGTCAAAAAGAATCTGAACAGACAAACCTTACTGAATTTCTCTACTTGGTCTATTAGCATTAGATCAGATCCTTTGTTAAATCACTTTGCTGCACGACTGTCTGTGCTTCAATCACACTTACACAAGGAAATCTCCATAAAAACCCAAAAGGACAGAGTTTGGAGAGCTTCTTAATACCAAACGTGGAGAATCCAAGATGGTGGTGCACCTGAGGAGGCATGAAGGTCTCCTTGCCTTTCCCACATGACTTGTTCTACACAATCTTTTCATCTACATCTTTCACAATATCCTTTCAAATAACCTGATAACTGTGTTTTGAGTTCTAGCCATCCTGGCAAGTGAACTGAACCCAAAGAGCAGGCTGTGGAAACTCCAAATTGTAGCAGAAGCGAAAGAACCTAGTGGGGGTTGGATGGTGGACACGGGGACCAGCACTGGGATCTAATGCCATCTCCAGGTAGATAAAGCCAGAACCCAACTAAATTAGAAGACATCCAAGTGGAGTCTCCTGCTATACAATTAACTGCTGACTTACTGGTGAGGATAAATCTTCACATCTTTTGGGGTCACAGAATTTATCCGAGCTATAATTATATACTAGGATTAACTGAATTTGAGTTGGTTTTCCCTCTACTTATTCAGACAGGCACACATTCTTGCTTTAGGGCTTTTGTACTTGTTATTTCCTCTGTCTATGAGGTGTTTCTTCTTGATACCACAGGCCCAGGCCCCTGTTAGCATTCTCCATAAATATTACCTTTTCAATGAAACTTTCCTTTACCACTTATTTTAAAACCGAAACACCCTCTGCCATTTCCTATTCTCGTCTTCCATATCACTTTAAACTTTCTATCCTAACCAGCCACCCTTCACAGATACGTAATTTTTTGGTCTGCTTTGTTCACTTATATATCCCATCCCCCAACCTATAAAACAGGGTCAGTCACATATTATGTGTCTAAAACATCAGTAGTTAAGTCAACAAATCACATTCCTCAAGAATACAATGGACAGTCATCATTGCTTAGTCACCTTAAAAAACTGAAATGTTACAAAGCATATGGCCATTACCCCTCTTGTGGAAAAGCATGTGCAAAATCAAAGTTCTCCTGACACTTGCTAAGCAAAGCAGTATTTTCTTAACACTTCACAACTGTGCATTTTTAATTCTCACATTTAACTTAATGGTATGAAGGACAATAATACACTCACTGTACAGGTAAGAAAAAGAAGGCAGATGAGAAGAAAGAAGTTTCTAAGGAAACTAGTTATTAAATAAGTTAAGAAAAAGCCTTATTTCTTGGCCTAACAAATGTTTTACCCATTATACAAATTATGTTTCCTTGACAGCATTCTCAGGAATACAAATAATGGTTTAATTCACTTATTAGGGATAAAGTGCTAAAGATAGGTTTTACTCTATGATGGAGGTAAGTAAAACTTGTCAGTGTGTTACTTTACCTTTCTGTGCTCATGATCAATCATGACATTATGAGGCTTCACATCTCTGTGCATAATTCCCATGCTGTGACAATAATCAAGAGCCTATGAGAAAGAAAAAGGTAAGATAGGAAAAAACCTGCAGAAGAATGATTTTCTTTTAATACTCCCAACTTTTCCCTTCATGTACTATAGTCCTTCTGGCTCACAACAACCTTGGGAATCAGGATCAGGACAATAACTCCCACAGCTGTTCTTTAGAAACTTCAGAATCCCAAAGTCCAGCAAACTCAGGTCTCTGAATCTCAATTTTGTTCCTTACAGTTATTTCAAAATTCTTTCTGTTCAGAAAAATTGAAGTATATACCAACTGAACCATTTCTAATTTTCCCCTCTTATTTACAGCCTAGATTATCTCTATAAACAGCCTCTCAAAATTTTTGAAGAACAGCAATTCTTTAGAGGCTAAGACTATTTAATAGAGATTGACAAACTACAGCCATGGGCTAAATCTGGTCTGCTGTCCTTTTTTGTGACAATAATGTGTCACACCACAGTCAGCCTATTTGTTTGCATACTACCCACAGCTGCTTCTGTGCTGCAACAGCAAAGAATACTGTGACAAAGAGCCCCTTGGCTCATGAAGCTTACAGTACTGTTTGGCCCTGATCGAGGTCATCAATCAATCCAACTTGAAAAGTCTGTAACCTCAAATTAAGGTGAACTCAGTGACATAGCCTTTGGGTTTGTTAATCCTGGCCTTTGAGTTAACTGATGTCATTAGCCAAGTTCTTGTCTTTCCTCAAGGGCAACTTGGATTCCTTCAGCTGGCTAGGCTAAGGAGACATATCCATAACATTCTCAAACTTTGCGTGGCACAAAACTGCATGAGTAAATGAAAAGATGAAGTATCTATACCAGTACTATTTCCTCTGGGTAACTTCTCAGGCTTAAGCAATAGGCTTAATGCCAACCCTTGTTTAATAAGAAACCTTAACCAACTCTTAGCAATTCTCACCTCTATAAAGCTGAAAGGCACAGCATACTATAAATACTAGGAGCAAGATGTATTTGGTGATCCCATTTTAGAAATCAAAGTCCATTCTCAATTAGCAATCCTTACGTAGAAATTTACACAATCCTTAGGACAAAGACTTTTTTGAAGGCTAAGTTAAGGTTTACAGTTTTACTTGGTGAATCTTCAGTAAAATAAAGTACATTAGAAGGCAACAGATCAAGAGCCTTTTTTTTTTTTTTTTTTTTTTGGTGTTGATGAGAGAGGGTCTTGCTACGAAGTTCAGGCTGGCCTTGAGCTCACTTGTAGCCCACAATGGTTTCCAACTCACAAGGATCCTCATGCCTCAGCCTCCCAAGTGCTGGGATTACAAGTGTGTGCCACCAAGCCCAGCTAAGAGTTTTTATAAATTTTGACAACATCATTTACACTCTCAGCTTTTTTCCAAACACTGCAAAGCATCCGGAACTGCACTCCTACTAAACACCATTCTATAACCCTTACATTAGCCCAAGGGTCCGAATACTATTAAATTATTATTTAAAAAAGTTAATTATAAAAAAAAAGTTCAGGCCCTTTATTTCAATATAACTTTACAAAGTTAGTTCACTGAGTTTTATACCATCAGTTGGACTATTTAACAAAGTCAAGGTTAATTTAAAGCTATTTAATATCCAAAGTTCCTTACCTTCAGAATCTCATACATGTAAAATCGAATATCATAGTCTGTTAACGTCTGGTACAATTGCTGTTAAAAACAAAGGCAACATTTCAGTCATGAAATAAAGCTCATAGGGAGGCAATTTCTCATCCTTACAGCAATTCAAACTAAGACTTGGCTCCTCTGCCACTGTATCAAGACCCGCATGTTCACTTCTATTTCTCCAACATAACGATCATTGTTTAAGAGATACTATGGGTTTACAACCAGGAATGTACAAGTGCAGAAATATTTAAACTTGTATCAGTGAATTTATAATTCACTCTTGGGAGAAAATCCACACCTATAATTTACTTTGCCTTTCCATTTACTTTTAGACCTTCTTATAAAATGCTCTGGCAAAAACACAACCCTCTTCAGTAGGGAACTAACCTGCTTCCTACAGCACTGCTGACCATCAGTAGATATACAGATGGCATGATGCCAAATCTGCTGAGCTACTTCAACAGAACTATTCCTGTACTAAACTCTGAAGAACTGTTATGTAATCTGTCCAGTTTCCAAAGGGCTAAAATTTTTTTACTTGTACATATCTTTAAACACTCAGTGGTATCCTGTTTTTTTTTCTTTCCTGGTACCGGGAATTGAACTCAGGACCTCACGCTTGCCAGGCAGCTGCTGTGCTGCTGAGCTAAATCTCCAGCCGTTTTTTTTTTTTTTTTTTTTTTAAAGTTGACATTCTCTAAAACAATTTTCCTTTTCTTCCTTTCCTTTTTTTTGGAACAGGGTCTTACCATGTAGTTTAGGCTGGCCTCAAACTCACAGTGATCCTCCTTCCTCATCCCTTTCTCAACAAAAGAGCGCTTCCATTTATTGATACATAACATTCTTTATACTGCCGCAAAGGCAACTCAAATACCTTTACAACGTATACTCCAAGAAAGAGCTCATATTCTTCCATTACACTGGAATTGACAGGTGTTGGAAATTAAGTAAACTACCAAACATGTGCTAAAGTGGAAATCTGACATCATCCTTTTCCATTTCCGACCTTTTATGACCTATAGCACAAGGCGCTGCACAGTAGTTCAGTGATAGGAGTGCTTGCCAGGCATGAACAGATTCCTACGTTCAATCCTCAGTCTCAATGGTGGTGGCAGTGGGGTGTATAAACCAGTAATTTTCAGAAATTTTAAGGAAGATGCAGTTTCTACTATTATAAGCACACAATACATTCTTCTCAAACATCCTTGTCTTAAAATAACTTGCTGTACAGCTAGATTCTGGGTGAACATGTACTGTTGCCTTTAGTAGGGTGGACATAAGAAGAAACTCTTTAATGAGTGGCAAAAGCGATGAAAGATAAATGTAGTCATTAAAAAGAATCATAACCAAATAATTGGGCAAAATGGTACTATGTGGAAAATGAGCACTACTTGTACAGGAGCTTTTCTATATCAAGATTCCATAATGTCAGGATGAAAAGTTCTTTTAAGAACTGAGAAACAAGTTCTTCTATCATATCCATAAATGGCTCTCTAGGTGGCCTAAAAACCCCATAGTTTTAAATATTTGGCTAATATACCTTGAAGTCTGTGTTGTTTACATGTTCAAAAACCAAGGCGGGGGTTCGTGACTAGGGGAAAGAAAAAAAAAATATACATTAGTAATGGAACTGCCAAGTTTAGCAGGCACAATGTTTGCAGATGTTGCACGGTGAATTTGGCAGGCCTCGCCTCAGGAGTAAGAAACCCTCTATTGCTAGAAGCCCTCCCAACTCTGATCACCACCACTTAGGTCATTTTAAGGATGGATTTCAAACAGAAGACATGGAGCTGAAGTCTCACCAGGCTCTAGGCAGCCCGGCAATGCGCCCATTGCCCATCAGCATTGGCCCTGAGTTTGCAAAATGGAGTAAGACATTTCAGTTTCCACTGCTATCAGTCTCTTAGCCTAGAAGAATAAGAAATAGTCTGTGGGTCTCTTTGAAAGAAAGACCTAAGCTAGTTAAAATGGTATACCAGATTAGGCACTTGTAAAGCAGGACTTAATGCT